TTAAATACCATCTTCAGCTAAAGACATAGGAGGATGTTGGGGGTGAGGTGAGTCAGCTATGGGAGATTACCAGAAAAGCACAGTAAACAAGAGTAACATTATTATGCAGATTTAAATCCTTGCCTTCTGCATTCACAAGAGTTTCTAGAGATAAGGTCATCCTCCCTTCCTCCTGGTACAGAGAGGGAGACATCTTTACAAATGGAGATTTCCCTTACAGATGCAAATGTCTCTTACAAAGGATAACTTCTACTTGGTTTTCAGAGCTTTTCCCAAGTCTGCAGTTTTTAAAAGCAAGCAGTCCAAAATAATCCTTATGCCAAACAGACACATTTGGGGTGGTCAATTCTGATCCCCCACAAGCACACAACATGTCCTCTGCCCTGGGCATTTGCAAGGAGTGGATCTTCTGTGCATCTTTTCAACGTTTACTATTGCAACTAGCAGAACCAGTGCTGTGTAGCCACTGGCCACAGAAGAGGACCCACTACCCTGTGTAGTGGAAAAGAGATGAGATGATAGAGATAGAGATAGAGACAGAGGGATACTCTAGTCAATAAAATTAGATGAATGGAACATTTTCTAAATAAATACAAATTTAATATAAATATAAAAGTACTCTTATGGGCACTTTCATACATACAAACTTAACTCTCACTGAAAACACAAGAAATGGGTATTGTCTCTATTCCATAGATTAGGAAGGTGAGTTTGAGAGAAGTGACACTCCCAAGATTATACCACTGGCAAGTAGCCAAGCCAAGATTTGGATCCAGGAATGTATGACACAAAAACAATTGCATCGTCTATTGCCCAAGATGCTCAAATCTATCAACTTTATTATTTTAACCAACAAAGTGGCTTGAATGTTTTTTCTTGTTTGGTTGGTTGGTTTTATTTTAACTTTTTGTGAAAGCTTCAGGCTTTCTTCCCAATTAGCTGGTGATTAATGCTGTGTTGCTAATAAGAACATAAAAATATAAGCATGGCAGGGATGGTTTTTGGAAACACATGTGCTAAGCTGATACAGATCAGAGTGGAAAACCAAGCTGATTCCATGGGGAACTGGTTGGTTCCCTGCCCAAATTATAGATCTCAGTGGCTTGGATTCTAATTCCTACATGGGGATGTGGAATATGTGTTCAGGGCTGAGAAAAGTGGGAAGTTGAAATTGAACTACATGATGAAGTCCAGTCCAGAGATTCAAAAAACTGCCTCATCCTTAAATAGGAAATAAATGATTTACATCCACCTTCTGTAGAGAGGCTAAAGGAAGTTTACTATCTACTGAACCATTTGGAAAGAAAGTTACCTAGAAAATATCCAAATTTCAAGCAAGTTCCTCTCAAAGGTGTGAAGTTAAATTACATTACTTGAAAAACAGAGGAACTACAAGCCAAATATTTAACATAAAAACCTTTGCGGGTCAATGGAGCCCTGAAGGGCATCAAGAGAAAGAAAGATTTAATTGCTCCAAGGGGAAAAATTTACAACCCAGAGCACAAAGACTTCCCACAGAGATAAGTCATCCTTGGTTGGTATAAATTCATAGCACAGAATTGCCAAAGTATGAGAAAAATGAACCACACTGAGGGAAAGTGAGCAGATCTGCTTTCAGAGGGATTTGGCTCCTAAGAACTGACTACAATGGAAGAAGAAAGAGAATGCGGAATAGGCAGATTCGAAAGGAGTAGAGAGTTAACAGTTTAAAAAATATATAATGAAGAACAGATAAGTATGAAAAAGGAAGAAGCCAATTTGGAAAGGAGCTAATAGAACTTCTAGAAATGAAAAGGAAAAAGCACAAACATTTCAAACTCAATGGATGAGTTAAACATAGGATCAGAAAAAAAACGAGCAATAATTGGTGAACTGGAAGATAAATTTGGAGAAATCATCAGAATGCACCTACAAAACAGTGAGATGAAAAATATGAAAGACAGACTAAGAGCCATGGAGAATAATAGAAAAGAATTAACACTAAACAAATATATATTTGGAGCTTCAGAAGGCAAAAATGAGGGGAGGGAAAGCAATAATTCAAGAATTTGCAATTGAAAATTTTCCAGAATTAACATGTCTTTAGATTGAAGAATCACAAGTTCCAACATCCAGATAGATTTAAAAAAAAAAAAACAAAAACCATTAGAAGTAATCACAAAAAAGGAAAACTATCTAAAGCTGAATTATAAACAGTATAGTTTTCTTATCAGCAAGAGCAAATACAAGACCACGGAATAACGGTTTTAAAGTGCTGAAGGAAATGAACACTTGGCCTAGAATTCTACATCTAGATGAACAATTTTTAAGAATAAAGGGAACAGAGAACATTTGCAGATAAACTCAGACAAATATTTTCATTCACATGCCCTCTTCAAAAGAACTGCTAAAAATATACTTTAGTAAAGAGGAAATTGATCCCAGAGGAAGGTACGTGGTGCAAGAAGCAATAATGAGCACCTCCCTTGCCAAAAGGGAAACATGTTGATGTCTGACAAGCACTTACAGTAAAAAACAATTATAAAATGTTAAATGGGGAATGGGTTAAAGCCATGTGGAACTAAAATACTTGATAACAAAGAATGAGGGAGATTGGAGTTAAAGTGTCCTAAATGTCTCACACTTTTCAGAAGTAGAACAAAAATAAATATTGACTTAAACTTTACCAGATATACGTGTTAAAATTTCTTAGAGTAGGGGCTGGCCCCGTGGCCGAGTGGTTAAGTTCGCGCGCTCCGCTGCAGGCGGCCCAGTGTTTCGTTGGTTTGAATACTGGGCACGGACATGGCACTGCTCATCAAACCACGCTGGGGCAGCGTCCCACATGACACAACTAGAAGGACCCACAACAAAGAATATAAAACTATGGACCGGGGGGCTTTGGGGAGAAAAAGAGAAAAAAATAAAATCTTAAAAAAAAAAAAGGCTTTCTTAAAAAAAAATTTCTTAGAGTAGCTGTTTCCATAGGAATAGTGGGAAAAGAGGTGCCTATTAGGCATTTATAGGTGCCTATTAAACTGAGGTCAGATCAAAGAAGATAAAAGTGGAGTCAGTTTCTAAGCCAGTGGACAGGAGGTGATCAGATGGAGGCAGATTGAGAGTAAATGAGGATGAACACAGCAGAGATCTGGAGACGGGGCCCTGGGGTCTGAAACGGGAAGAGTTGGGCAAAGCATCCAGAGCTGCAGTGGAAACCGAGGGGGAGCAGCCGGCGAGGCGGAGGAAACCAGGAGGGTGCTGTGCCCTGGAATCCAAGAGAGGAAAAGGTTTCAGGAGGGAGGCAGCGGCCAACCACGTCACATGTTCCTGACAGGCCAAGAAAGGGCGTGATGCAAATTGACCGCTCGATTTGGTAACATAGAGACCTTGGTCAAGACACTGACTCTTTAAAAAGCACTTATTAGGACAGAAAATATTAGTGCATAAATAGGCAAATAGAGAGCTCATAATTACACCTCTGCATGACAGGGAGCTTGATAAATGACACAGTTTGCATTATAAAACAACGAAAGAAAGAGCTATTCCCATAAATTGCCAGAACAATTGCTTAGCCACATGAAAGTGAAATTCAAAAAATAAAGATAAATAAATGAAAAACTGTATGTCTTTATGTGGGAAAGGATTTCTTAATTAGTCCCCAGAAGCAAAATCTCAATGGAAATCTTCGATAAATTTTACCTCATTAATGTTTCAAACTGCCTTCCAAGCCACCATAAACGAAACAGAAAGTTAAGCAGCAAAGCAGAAGATATTAGCAACCTATATAGAAAAGATTGTCTTCGGGATTATGTAAGCGATTTTCAAAAAGCAATAGGAAAATGTAAGTAACAATAGAAAAGGAAGCAAAAATATGTATGGATAATTTGCAAAAGAGGAAAAACCATATGCCCCATAAATATGAAAAAAAAAATGCTTAGACCTGCTAGTAATCAAGGAAATGCAAAAGAAGACAAAAATAGGATACATCTTCACATCTAGCAATTCGACAAAAATTAAAGCACGACAATGGAGAAACGGAAACTGCCGTTAAGTGCATTAAATTGAAGCTGTGCGACCCATACAAGGCAAGCCCCCATCCTAAGTGCATTGTTTAGAGGAACTCCCACATGCGTGCGCAGAGAGGCTGAAGTATGTTCAGATATCAACTTATATCAAAGTGGGATATTAGAAAGAACCTAAACACTCACCGGTAGGGGAATTAACTAAAATTCTAGAATGGAATATCATACAGCAGTTAAAACATAAACTGGAACTATACGTTGATCTGTATCAGTGTATACAAAAACATAACACTGAATGAAGAAAAAACAAATTGCTGAAGGATAGCATATTATAATAACAGTAATATAAAATTTATGACACAAAAATCAGTACTAATATTTCTTATGAATACTAACATAGAACACGGATGGGAAGGAAACACCAGTTTCAGGACGGTGCGTAGCTCTCTCTGGTGAAAAGAAAAAGAGGAAAATGAGGTCAAAAGAGTCCAAAGAAGGCTAGAACTATGTCTGTAATGTTAGCTCTTGAAAGACATTTCAGCTACGCGATAAAGTTGGTTAAATGCTAATCTGTGTATTTGCGGCAATGGCTACATGTAAGTTTTTCATCTTATTCTGGGCACTTTCCTTTTTTGTTTGAGATTACGATACGATAAAGACAAAGTACGATAGAAAGTGCAGGAAGGGAGAGATTGTAGAGATTCGTGAATGGAGATCTTACTAGAGGCCAAAGATAGGGGTCTTGTTTTGAGAGCTATCAATTTTGATTGTTGTTTCACAATGAATCGTCCATAGCCTACTGGTGACCCCTAGGCTTCTCCCAAGCAACTATGAGCAGATCCAAAAATTATAAGTCCTTTCTGTAGTTTTTACTGGAAAACAGCTTTCAATTTCACATGCATTCATTTTTATGTATATATGAAGCCTACTTTCTAGATACTAATCTATGAAGATAATTTTTATAATTGATACAAGTCATAAACTAAAACTAGTGCATTATTTACATTTTCCGCAGATTCGAATGTAGTACTTTATTAGAAAATCTGTCACCATCCAAACCAGGTAAATACTGCAAAGGTTCTAACATGCATGTGTTCCAAATTACTCCAAAACTTAGAGACTTAAAGCAATGATAACACTTATTCTGCTCACAGCTCTGTAATTTGGGCAGGACGAAGTGGGAACAGCTTATCTCTGCTCCACTCAGCATCAGTAGGGTGGCTTGAAGACTGGGGGCTGGAATCATCTGAAGGTTCATTCACCCACATAACTGATGGTCGATGCTAACCGTTGGCTGATACTTCAGCTGAGGCTTTTGGCTGAAACATCCACACAGGGCCTCCCATTGCTGCCTGGGCTTTTTCATAACATGGTGGCTGGGTTCCAATGGCAAGAATCCTGAGAGAGAGAGCCAAGGCCCACATCACCTTTGGGGACCTAGTCTTCAAAATCCTGCAACATCACAAAGTTCAAGGGACCAGAAATATTGCAGTGTCCATTTTTGGAAAACATAGCATGCACAGACATATAGATTGGTGATCCACACAATCCCCTCCAACTCAATAATTTTATGAAAAGACATCTGTGTGTGTGTGTGTGTGTCCTCAATACTGTCTTGAGTTAATCATGATTTTTACTATTATTAATAGTTACTGCTATTTTTTCTTTTTAATTTTAGATTACAATTTTATAATTAGTCCATAATTATCAATTTAGTTTGCTGTAGGTTATTTGCTTCACCTACATTAATCATGCTTATTTATATCAATAATGTTTTGGTATATAGTTTTATAATAACTGGAAATTAAGATGCATACGTGGTGTTTCAAGTACGAAGCCTCAATAGATGGATGGATAATCACCCCAAATGTACTCATACAATGAATTATGTGATGCCCAAGAATTCATGCTCTTTAAATAACTTGTAATATATTATCAAGTGTAATTAAAGTACTTTTAAGTTTATAAGTATTTCATAAAGTAGATGTATAAGCTCATCCTAAAACTTATTTAGTTCTTTGTATAATTATCAAAGTGAATTATTTTCTCATTTGAAAGTTGGAATGGAAAGGAGCAGGACAATAGTGGTTTTCCTACCCAAAAGGCCCCAGTTAGGTGCTCAATAGGTGCTGTTGAACTGAACTGAAGTTGCAGAACTCATTCCTTCACTCACTCACTCATTTATTCATTCAAGACAGTGACTGATCTACTGAGGAAGGTGAAAGAGAGACAGATGACCTCAAGTGAAAATAGTGAATAGTGAATAGTGAGTGAATAGTGAATAGTGGCATTTTTGTAAGATGGGGAGGACCTCCGGAGGGTCAGGTTTAACCTCTCCAGGACTGTGATCTCATCTGTATAATGGGAATAACCTGGGTGCCCTACCAACCTTCCCATCAGTGTTACTGTTTGGATCTTAGGATCTTCCCATGCTGATGAGGTGCCAGCACTTAGCATTTTTGAGATGAGCCCATCTCTACCTACACTGGGCTTGGATTATTAACAGCTAAGACCCTCCCTTCACCAATGAGTGGTACAGACCAGGGAATCATAAGGAGAACATAGAGAAAACCACTGATTCTCCACTTAACCCAACAAAAATAAACCTTTCAAAACACATATACGTGACTGTGTGTTCTCTTACTAGATTTCGTGATTAGGACGTATGGTTTGACTTCGTTTTGCAATAGTGAGAATGGGCTACATTGATCTATCCCCCTGTCCACTTGTTCACCAGAAGCATGTAAATATTGTAAAACTGAGGAGAAGGAAAGGGCGTGGCTGACGTACCTTGACGGGATGGGACATGTGTCGTTAGGCTCACAAGCACTCATCTTCAACCTGCAAAATAAATTAAGAAGAAAGGAATTCAAATTCCCACACAAAGGTGTGCTGTACTGACCGCTAGCCTTCAGCCCACTTTAGAAACCCCTCCACCAATTTCATTAATTCCATTAAATCCATTAATTCTACCATTTTTTCATTATCTATCATCTTTCTCGAGTCCTCACTTCCCTCTACACAGGTTAGGTTCCGTGTGTCCCTCGCTATAATGGTCCCTTTGCAAACAGCTCTCCTGCCCATCTCTCACTGCCAGATACTCAACTGGCAGATCCCACCCCTCATTGGAGCCAACCACCCGCCTCCTCTGTGTCCACACTCACAAATCTGGACACCACTGGAAAAGAAATCCCACAATCATGCTAACTGGTCTCACTTTAAATTTATGACCCTGTATCTCCAATCCGTGCTCAACACTGGCAACAACTCTGCCTGATACCCTAGTAGTTTCGCCTTCTTACTTTCTGAGATGTTATCACAAATTCTTTCTTGTCAAACCTCCAAAACACCTCCCTACCCTCGGGGCTAACAGCATCATCTTGTGCTCCTTTGAGGAAATAGGCACTATCGGATGAGAATTACTTCCCTCTCCCCTGTCAAATCCAGCTGTCTCCTGGCATTCCTGCCCATGTACTCTGCCTCCCATCCAGTCACGGGGGATGAATTGTCCCTGATCCTATCAAACGCCACTTGAGCTTTACATTCTCTCCCCTTTCACCCACTCAAGGACTTTATTACTATAATTATTCCCTTTCTATAGCTTCAATTGATTCCTGTGTCCCAAATCACAGAAACGTGTTCTATTATCTTTCATTTTAAAGACGCTATCCTGACTCCACACAGTCCTCCAGCTCCTGGCCCATTCCCAGCTCCCCTTCATGGTAAAATTTATCAGAAATATTTTCTACTGGATCTTCTTCCTCATCTCTCATTCTCTCATAGGCCAGTAAAAAGGATCTTCACATTATTTAGTGCCCCATCATTTTTTAGGTGAAGAAATTGGGACCCACTCATATGTCCTTGTATAAGATTTCCACAGCTCATCAGGGGCAAAGTCAAGGCCAGAACTCTTTTCTCCCAATTCCTGTTCCTTCCGGGACATTCCCACACACACACCTTTGATCTCACCCTTAGCCTGTTGGCTTTACTTAATGAAAACTGACATGGGGAGCGTCTTCCGGCTCACATTTTCCTGAAACAGATGCAGGTGAGCCGATCACTCACGGCACCTGCTCCTCCCCAACCCACACCCAAGTTCAAACTGTCCATCCTTCACACAGATTCCACAGGTACCTGTGCACTCGAGAGAGGAGGAAATGTGAGTTTGCCAATCACATTATCTCCAACATCCCTTGTTTCCCCAGCTCAAATTGAGTAAATCACATCTGCAATTTAACTCTTAATCAAGAGGCCCTCGAGTCTGACTTCGTGACTTACTTTTATGGCTCCTCGTGCGTCACATAGAAAAATGAAGAATGTCTTCCTTGCTCCGCGGTGATGCTCACGCGCAGTAAATCACAGAGGCCTGGCAGTGAAATGAGACTATATTTCAGGGAGCCAAATGTAGTGGGAGGGACCTGGCACAGTGGAAGGAAGCAGGGAGGGAGGAGGGAGCCGGAGGCAAAGCGCAGAAGCTCAGGTGTCTGACAAACGTGCATTCTGGAACCCAGGCTGACACGGAGCATGGAAAGGGTGTTTCACGCCTCGTGTTTTTGCAGTAACAGTCCTGGGGCATCTGAGTACAGCTTCCACAGGCCAGGAACTCCCCATCTAAAGAAGAGAGGGCTCAATTCCACAATCCAGAGGGAGGAATCTAGCAGATTCCTGCATTTTCAGCCTGTTAGGCACCCCTTTGCCACGCTGTCGTTCATAAGGGTAAGATCTCCTTGACCAACAATGTATTCCCCAAGATGCTGGTCCTCTTATACTCCCACTCCTTGTTCTCTCCATCCCTCTACTTCCTGGCTCCACACCTAATTTGCATTAGCAGCTTCTGGCCTCATTTCATTTTGGTTACCAGGATAAGTAACCCGCTTTCTGATAATTGGCTTCATTCTCAACCCTACAAGCCTGTTTGAATTTACAGATCAACCCAGAAAGTCCCTCTGTCTTTTGTAGTTCCTCAGGTCCCTCATTCTCCTCTGCTTTGTCAGAATCAGCAGGCAGTGGGAGGTGGAGGTCGCAGAAGCTTCTCCAGAGAAAGCAGTATTTTTAGTTAACCAATTTTTCAGTGAAGAATAATGTAATAGAATCCCAACCTATACAGGCTGAAGAAAACAGCATTTGCTTTTTCTCTGCAACACAAAGCCTAGAGGTGGGCTTTCCAGGGCTAGTGTTATAGCTCCATAATACCGCCAGAGACTCTGGTTTCTGCTCATCTTCCTTCTTGGCCACCCCTTGGTGAGTGTTTTTTGCCTTATGGATACAATATGGCTGCTCCGCCTCATACGTCAAGTCTAAGTTTCAGGAAGGGATAAAGTGAAGGTTCTTCTGCTGGTCTTGGGTAAGCTCACTCATACCTCTGAGCTCAGCTGGTCCGTGATGGCTTCACTCACATGTCTGGTGATTGGCTGACTGTGAGCTGGGGTGACAAGGACAACAGCATTATGTGTCTCTCATCACCCAACCGGCCAGCCTGGGCTCTTTCACATGGTGGTGATCACAGTTTCTCCAGAGAGGGCAATCCCCAATGTGCAAGTGCTTTTCAAGTCTCTGCTTGCATGTCATTTGCTAACGTTCCATTGGCCAAAGCAAATTACAGAGTCCACATGGGGAGGGCATGGATATAGAGATGGGAAGAGATTGTAGTCATTTTTGCAATCTACCACATCACTCTGAAGAAATTTGTATTATAACCAGTATAACCGACTTTGTTCCAACAAAACTTAACCATTTGTAAGAAAAATCCTAATTTTAAATAATTTTATTTACTTATACACATTTTTCTTTGTAAATACATTCTCATTCTTCTTAGATAAAACAGCTAGTGAGCGTAATAATAAAGCATCTAGGAAAAGGACATGTCATTATCCTATTTAAAAACCAATTTTGGAAGAGTTAAGGAGATTTTGTCAAAATCATGTCCCTTCTTGTACAATTCTTATAAATAGTTTTGTGCTTCCAGTGTTGAGTTCAAAAGAAGTGACATTTAATTAATTTTATACTTTGTAAAAATCCTAAGATTTCAGCTTTAAAAGTCTAAGATGCACACAGTTCTTATAAACAGTCACATCTCTGTTGGCGTGACTCACACGATCATGGCTGCTGCTGCTTGCCCATGATGTCACATCAAAATCATGTCCAAGGGGACCTTGGGGAAGGATGCACCATCGGGACTTTGGGAGTAGTGTGAGTGCTATAGGAAAGACTGTGAGGGGGTCGGACGTGGTTCATGTACCTGGCCTGGCTGGTGGCCCTGGGTGTTCAGGATTTCCATGGCAGTCCACCCTGGGAAGGTGGTGTGTCCAGAGTCATCTGCATGTCTGGGGCTTCAGTTCATTTGATATGTCCCGATGGCCAGCGTGCTGGGTAGCCAGCATGTCCTGACCAGTGATGTTCCTGGGCCCGTCAGTCTGCCTGAGAATCAGCACACATATTTTCCCTGCATGGCTAGGATGGAGTCCTGCCCTCTGACAGCCTAAGGATGGCCATGGCCAGAGGGGAAGGGCGCAGGAGGTAAGCCTCAGAGAGTCCTCCTGGGGGATCCCACCACCCCAGACTGATCACTCACTGCTTTAAGAAATCTCTTGGAAAGGAGAATGCATCTCCCCTACAACTCCCCCTAACTGCACCTCACCCTATTTGCTTTGAGTTTAACACCTCAGACAGGGTTGATGCTCAAAATATCAACAACCTGTAAAGAAAGATGCCCAACCAAGCAGAACAGGGGCCCGCCATCAAGCCGTAGGTGTGCATCTCACAGAGCACTGGCCATGCCTGTAGGCAAGGGTGGGATTGGGGCCAATCCCAGTGGAGGCCCACCCAGCAAGGACCAGGGCGGTCTAGGAACTCCAAGCCCCAACACCTCACAGTGAGTCTACAGCTAAATGCATCTGGCCTCAGGTGGTCCTCAGCAGCCTTTCTCAGCCTCCAGGCCATTGCATGGACCAGCATACAGGTCATGAAATCTAGTGAAATCTAGATCTAGACTCAGACAACTTGGCTGTGTGACCTAGTGCCAGTCACACAACGTCTCTGAGCTTCTGATCCTCATTTGTAAAGTACATATCCTAAGATTCTCTCCTCCTAGGGCTGTTGAGAGGATCCAGGAAGCTTAGTCCTCCAAACCAGGGGTCAGCAGATTTTTTCTGCAAAGGGTCAGGTAGTCATTATTTTAGGCTTTGTGAGCCATGTGGTCTGTGTCACCACTGCTCAACTCTGCTACTGTAGCACTAAGGCAACCATAGACAAGATGTAAATGAATGGGCACAGCTATGTTCCAATAAAACTTTATTTATCAAATCAGATTAGGCCTTAGTGTGCTGACCCCTGATGTAAATGCTCACTTAGCGCAATGCACCTGTATCTATTTTCCATCTGTATCTTTCTATCTCTGTAGCTCTATCTTTATCAAACGACTCTATAGGTATGTGACCCTTAGACATGTGTCCTGAAGGCTCATGACTCTAGATCGCATCCTCCCCACATCACATGCTCACTAGAAGCTTCCACATGGAGTGACCACATGGAAGCCATACTCAGCTGATCAAGGCAAAAACACAATGAAAGTCATGAAAAAAATATAGCTAAGCATTTTATACAGATAGCTCAAAAGTGCATAGGAATTCAGAGATTGGGGGCAGTAAACTTTAAGTCAAGAAGAGTTAATAAAGCAAAAGGTAAAAATGTAGAACAATTAAAAGACAAGCGACATGGTGAACAGGAGGAGAGCATTAATCATCACGTGGTCAGAGAGACAGTGAGTCCTTTAGGTGTCTGGAGAAAGCAGGGAGAGCCCTTCTCTAACAAGTGGCTCGGAAAAGGCCAGCAGCGACCAGGTCTGGCACTGGACCCACCTGGCAAGCAGACATTCGGGAACAATGCAGAAATGAGGCAGAGCAGTGAGGCGGATGCAGCCAACACTGCCAGAATTTTCCAGTGTGGTTCAGGGGCCTCCCCAGGAAACCTGAATGACCTACAGAACCAAAGACCCCAGGCAGGTGGAGACACTCTCTGCTCCATTTTGTCAAAGTCCCTTGTACCTTCCGCATCATAGTACTCAACGTACCAAACTGTAATTGTCCTCTGCACACCCAATCTCTGACCCCTGAACCCTCTAAGGTCATTCCGGCCTCAGGGATCTGCTCCACCCACAAACGCCCAACAACATTCGAGGGCGACCTTCTTCACGTTTTTTCAGACACTCAAATAGATGTCTTCTCAGAAAAGCCTGCGTTAACTGCCGACCACCAGTAGCCTCCAGTCTTTCCCTGACTGATTTCCATCAGACTGCTTATTGCTAGCTAATATTTTCTCATTGTTTGGTAGTTCCTTGACTGATTTGTTTCTCTAATTAGAAATGTAAGTCTCTGAAGAGCTCAGATGGTCTAAGCTTCATGTGCCAGCACCTAGTACAGTGCTTGGCAGTTTGTAGGTGCTCAATAAATATTTATTGAATGAATGAATATCTCTCCAAATGGCGGTGAACTCCTTGAAGACAAAGAACATATCTTAATCTTTTCAAGAAAGGGAAAGTGAGAGGGTGGCACTACCAGGACATTCCCATCTATATCTCATTGGCCAGACTGTGTCATGGGCCCACTCTTAGCTACACAGGAGGCTGAGAAATTCAGTGACTGACTAGGGACGATGCCACCCTGAACAGTCAGGGTTCATTTAGCAAGGAGAATAGAAGAGAACATTTGGCAGGCAGTCAACACTGTTCGCCATGGTGCCTTTTCTGAGTTAGCCTGGCTTAATACCAATAGCAGAAATGGTCTTGAGAGCTTTGCCTGTCTCCCAATGCCACCAAGAAGGAAAATCCCACCCATTGTAGGATATATAGAGAGAGGGGGTCAATGCCTACAAAATTTATGATTGGCCATTAGTTTAACTGTCAGTAGCAGTGGAAAGAACAGAGTGGAGCGATATGGAGACATAGAAAAGAAAAGAGAGAGAAAGCCTGTCTCTCAGAGCATCTATCCCCTGCTCAGCATCTCAAAGCTTCCAGTCCCTTCCTCATGGCCCTTTCCTCCAGCAGCCAGTCCCAGTCCTCACCAGCCTCTTCCCAGCCCGCCTGGGCCTCCACAGTCCCCTAGCCTGCTCCCTGGGCTGCCGGTGACCCTTGTGAGATTTCTGACCACAGCCGTCCTCCCCGTACTCTTGCTGCCATCACTGCTGTGACCTCAGGGGTGAGGATGTTGCCCCCTCCACTTGGCCACTTCCTCCAGCACCAGGGAGAGGCTCTTGCCAAATTCTCTATAGTAAAGCTGAGAGTAGGACGTAATGAGACTTCAGGGGAGGTTTGGCAATAATATAAATGGAAAGCAAGACAGATATTAGCTTACTGTGACCAAACAAGCCATACAGACCCAAGCTGACTTGCTCCTGGCCTGCTATCGCATGACCAGGAAACTCATCCCCACCAGCAGAAATTCAGCTGGAGTCCCCAGGCCCTGGAGTTGAGGCCAAGCTCACTTCTATCCCAAGAGCAAGGAAGACACTTTCTCCCTCAAATCTAAGGTCTATGATTGAAGGTGGGACCATCAATTCCCTTCAAAGGAAGCTCGACTCCCATCCATAGGAGAATGGTGGGACCCTAAGGCCCTGTGGAGACAATGACACAACAGTGCTATATCAGGTCAATTCTCAAAATCTGGGCCATTCACTCTGAGTGTGGAGAGCAACAGGAGGTTGCAGCAGGCTCGGTCTACTTCCTTTACAAATTATCTTCAGAAAGGTGCAAAAAGTCTTAGGGCTTCTCCAGTCTTGCCCTGTTTATCCCTGCCCTATGCTTCCTTATCCCAATTTTCCACCCCCGACCCTAGATCCCAATATGCCCCTGTCCAGATCCTCATGACATCAGTAC